AAAAAAAAAAAAACCTGGCTGCTCTTACAGAGGACCCTGGTTTTCAGCACCCACATGATGGCTAACAATCATCCATAACTCCAGTTCCAGGGACTCAGACACCCCCCTGTCTTCCATGGACACTGCATGCACATGGTATACTTATATACATGTAGGCAAAACACTCAGACACATAAAATAAAATACACAAATTATTTTAAATAATAAAACTGAAGATGTAGCTAATTGGTAGAGTGCCTAACATCCACAAAGCTCTGCGTTCCATTCCCAGCACTCATTAACCCAGAGTGGTGGTGCACACCTGTAATCCCAGTACTTCGGAGGGAGAGACAGGAAGGTTACTGGTTCAGGGTCATCCTTGGCTACAAAGCAAGCTCCAGGCCAGTCTGGGATACATAAGACACTGTTGCAAGCAAGCAAGCAAGCAAGCAAGCAATCAAACAAACACAAGGGCTGGTGAAATGGCTCAGCTGGTAAAGGTGCTTACTATGCAAACAGAGTTCATATAGAGGTGGAAGGAGAGAACTGAATCCACAGTTGTTTACTGACTTCCACAAACATGCTGTGGCATGCCCCTTTACCACACACACACACACATAACCCAATATATTTATTCTTAGTCTGGAGAGAGGGCTCAGAAGTTAAAGAGTGCATACTGCTCTTCCAGAGAATTGAAGTTCAATTCCCAGCACCCACATCAGGCAGTTCACAAGTGCCTGTAACTCTGGCTCCAGGGGATCCAACACTCTCTTCTGTCCTCTGTGGGCACCCACACACATGTCATACAAACATGCAGATGTATATGCATATACATAAATAAAAATAAAATAAATCTTAAAAAATTTCATTCTTAGTCTGGGGATGTAGCTCAGTGGTAAAGCATTTGCCTAGTATACACAAGACGCTGGGGTCCAGCCTCAGCATCACACAAAAAAGAATCTGATGCTGGGTATGGGGGCACACATTTACTCTATCAGCACTTGGAAGGTAAAGGCAGGAACTTCAGGAGTTCTAGGTGATCCTTGGCTACACAGCAAGTTCAAAAGTTCAAAGCCAGACTACATGAGACCCTACCTTAAAATACTAAAAGAAAAAAAAAAAAAGAAAAAGGATTTTGACAGTTCAGGAAAAATGCAGAAGATGCGGGGTATACCACCACTGTGGATTGGGGGGGGTTGCATCTTCATCAGGTATTGCATCTACTTTGACCACAAGAAGCTGAGTGACCTCAACTTGAAGAACAAGCTTCTAGAATGAAGATACAGAAGCTTGCCAAAGAGCTAGAGCTGGGTTTTCCAAATTATCTGACCTTAAAGATGCTGAAGCTGTTCAGAAACTCCTCTATGAAGACATACAGTTTGGTGAAGTTACCAGGTCAAAATGACCTCGAGATGGGTGTGGGTCACCAGACAGGTATACTTGCTACAAGTTCTACAGCAGATTCTTCCATCACCAGTGTTCCAGATGCTTCTGATTAAGCTACCAATAATCAGAGGAGTATAAATGCTCAGAGACAGGCCAAAAATGATGTGTGATGAGACACAAACATGTGTGCCACCATGCTCAGTTTAAGTGGTGCTAGAGATCGAATCCAGGGCTTCATACATGCAAAGCAAGTACTCTACTAACTGAGCTACATGCTCAACTCAGTTATCTGTGTTTTATTATTTAAAACAGTACTTCAAGCTGTGTGAGGAGGCATAGGCCTAAACCCCAAGATTTGGGAAGTGGAAGCAGGAGGATCAGGAGAAAGTTATCTTCAGCTACTTAGTAGGCTCAAGGCCAGCCTTTGTTACTTGTGACTCTGTCTCAAAAAATAAAACAATGACTGCTGAGATGGCTCAGCAGGTAAAGGGGTTTGCCACCAAACCTGACACCTTGAGTTCAATTACCAGGACCCAAATGGTGGGAGGAGAAAAGTGAGTCCTGCAAACTGTCCTCTACCCCTCATACATGGACTGTGACATGAATGTGCCCACCCATAAACACCACACACACACACACACACACACACACACACACACACACACACACACACACAAACAAACAAACAAAAACCCAAAGGGGCTGGAGAGATGGCTCAGCGGTTAAGAGCACTGACTGCTCTTGTAGAGGGCTTGGGTTCAATTCCCAGCACCCACATGGTGGCTACGAACCATCCTTAACCCCAGTTCCAGGGGACTCTGAAGCCCTCTTCTGACCTCCATGGCAATGCACAACACGGGTGCACTCACATACGCATAAAATAAAAATAATAAAATATATTTAAACATAAAAATAATACAAAAAAACAACCAAAATAACAACAACAAAAAAAAAAACCCGCTTCAAAACAAACTAAGACACAATGACCAGAGAGATGAATAATGGTAATCTGCTTTAGCAGATGTTCCATCCTTTTATCTCTTATCTCTAACATGGATGGAACACTGAAGCCTGCCAAATCCTTATGTATGATTTCACTGTATTTCTGGTGAGAACTTTTGAGGAAAACAATTTGTAATTTTAAAGTGGAAATTAATGGACAGAGTGGATTAGATATAGAGAAGTTGGATAAGACTTTTTTTTGGCTGGTTGTTTGGTTTTTTTTTTTTTTTTTTTGAGACAGGGTCTCCCTGTAGCCCCAGCTGTCCTGGAACTCACTATGTAGACCAGGTTGGCCTTGAACTCACAGAGATCTGCCTGCCTCTGCCTCCCCAGTGCTGGGATTAAAGGCGTGTGCTACCACGCCCGGTGGATAAGACTTTTTACACACACACATACATACATATAATATGCATACAACATATTATATGTACATTTTTTTTTTTTTTGAGACAGGATTTCCTGGTAGCTCCATCTGGCCTAGAACTCGCTATGTAGATGAGGCTGGCCTCCAACTCACAAAGATTCACCTGTTTCTGCCTCCCAAGAGCATGCTAGGATTAAATATGAGTGCTACCACCATGCCTGGCACACGATTTTTTTTTTAAGATTTACTTTTATATGCATGTATGCATTTGTATAAGTGTATGCCACATGTGTGCCAGTACCTGAGGAGGCCAGAAGAGGGCACTGGATCCCCTGGAGCTGGAATTACAGGCAGCTGTGAGATTACACCAGACATTGGTTCTGGGAATTGAACTGGGGTCCTCTCAAAGAGCACCAAGCACTCTTAACTGCTGAGCTCTCTCTAGTCCCCATATGATGTATTTTTTGTGGTGTTGGGGATGAAATCCAGGACTTCACACATACAAGTCTTCTACCAATAAGCTACATCCCTAGCTCATACACATTATATAATATATAAATAATCAATAAATCAATACAAATATCTATATATTTTTTGAGATAGGGTCTTGTTATATAAGTCAGGCTGGTGATGAAATCTAGATCCTTCTGCCTTAGCTTCCTGAGAGCTTTGATTATAAGTATATATCATATCTGTTGTCTTATTAATATTTTTCTGAAATGGGCACTGCTAAATTTCCCAGGCTTTCCTTGAAGTTGCCATCTTTCTACCTCAGTCTCTTTAGTAGCTAGGATTACAGGAAGGTACAACTGTATCTGGTTTTTGGAATCACTTGGTAAAGAAAAATTCTGTAAAGTGAACCACATTTACACTGATTAAACTTTCTGGGATGAATGTTCTAGCTCAAAGACTGAACTCACAATGCCCGAGGTAGGATTTCATGGAAAACTTGATTTCTGCAGAATTATAGACTACACATTTGTGATGACTAATCTTGGTTGTCAACTTGACTGGATCCAGGATTAACTAAAATGAGAGAGGTCAGTTCTGTTCCTTTAGTGAAACCTTGACTAATACAACATCAATCAGGTGAACATAGATGGAGGAGGTGGGAGAAGTTTCTCTTTTGGCAAGTCTGAATGTGCGTCCCTTCCCAAGAATAATTAATGGGGTTCTTGGACACCTTGAAGTATTAACAAGGTCTGTCTCCTCCCACAGACCTATTTCTGCTGTTTTGTTTAATTAACTCACCTGCTGTTGGGCTGGGGGGCAATGCTGCCGTTTTGTTCAGGTGGGGTCTCTACTGGTTTGGATTTGAAGTAGTTGACAAACCCTCCAAATATACTCTTAATGCTGTTAATATGTTTCTGGCTTGTCTTCAAATCCTGATCCATCTTGTCCACCATCTTCTCTGTATGTTCCAGGACTCCTCGCTGCCGGACCAGCTCCTGCAGAAGGCAAGAGGCAGTAACATCATGCCTTTTCCCCTCTAGTCCCAAAATCACAGTTTATTTAAAAAGTCTGGGGCTGCAGCAGGGTGTGGCAGGCGGATCTCAGTGAGTTTAAGGCCAGCCTGGTCTACATAGCGAGTTCCAGGCCAGCTGGGGCTACAGGGAGACCCTCTCTCAAAAAAAAAAAAAGAGAGAGAGATAATGTGTTGCCAAGCCTGACTTATATAATGAGACCATATCTCAAAAAATATAGATATTTGTATTTATTGATTTATTTATATATATTATATAATATATATGAGCTAGGGATATAGCTTATTGGTAGAAGACTTGCCTTGTATGTGTGAAGTCCTGGATTTCATCCCCACCACCACAAAAAAATACATCATATGGGGACTAGAGAGATAGCTCCAACAGTTAAGAGTGACTGGTGCTCTTTGAGAGGACCCCAGTTCAATTCCCAGAACCAATGTCTGGTGTAATCTCACAGCTGCCTGTAATTCCAGTTCCAGGGGATCCAGTGCCCTCTTCTGGCCTCCTAAGGTACTGGCACAAATATGGCATACACTTATACAGACATGTACATGCATATAAAAGTAAATCTTAAAAAAACAAATCATGTGCCAGGCATGGTGGTAGCACTCATATTTAATCCTAGCATGCTCTTGGGAGGCAGAAACAGGTGAATCTTTGTGAGTTGGAGGCCAGCCTCATCTACATAGTGAGTTCCAGGCCAGATGGGGCTACCAGGAAATCCTGTCTCAAAAAAAATGTACATATAATATGTTGTATGCATGTTATATGTATGCATGTGTGTAAAAAGTCTTATCCACCAGGTATGGTGGCGCACGCCTTTAATCCCAGCACTGGGGAGGCAGAGGCAGGCAGATCTCTGTGAATTCAAGGCCAACCTGGTCTACATAGTGAGTTCCAGGCCAGCTGGGGCTACAGGGAGACCCTGTCTCAAAAACAAAACAACCTGGTGAGCTCCAGGTTCAGTCAAGGATTCTGCCTCAAGTAAGTTGAAAAATGATAGTGGGAGAGACTAGACAATGACCTGTTCTCCACATTTTTACACACACACACAGTTAATAACTGAGCAAAGAACTTGAAAAGGTATCACTCCAAAGAAGATATACCAATAATCAATAGGTAAATGAAAAGGTGCTCATTAATTATTGCAAAATGCTTAATAAAACCACAATGAGGGGCTAGAGAGATGGCTTGGCAAGTCAAGGTCCTGGTCACAAAAATCTGATGACATGAGTTTGATCCCAGGAACCTACATAAAGTTGGAAGGAGAGAACTAACTTCATAAAGTGTCCTCTGACCTCTACATGTATGGTGTGGCATGTGTGCGTTCCATCATGTACATACACAACAAAAACCCAATCAAGAGTGGTGGTCCAGCTGGACATAGTACTGCATGCCTTTAATCCCAGCACTTGGGAAGCAGAGGCAGGCAGCTCTCTGTGAGTTCGAGGACAGCAGGGGCTACCCTGTCTCAAAAAGGCCAAAAAAAAAAAAAAAAAAAAAAAAGGTCTGGGCATGTAGCTCAATTGGTAGAGCACTTGTTACCTAACATGCACAAAGTCTTGTGTTAGCTCCTGAGTACTGCATACCCCAGGCATGGTAGCATTCACTGTAAATGCATACATAACTCAGAGGGTGGAGTCAGAAGTATTATTTCAATATCATACTTGGCTCCAGCCTGGGCTATGTGAAACCCAGTCTCAAAAATAGTCTCTATTTGAAGGTTGGTGCTTTTTCTGGCTTCCCATAGGGCTGCTGCTGATTTCATCTTTTTTTATTTATATTTTAAAAATATTTAATTATTTTCATGTGCATGAGTGTTTTGCCTGCATGTAGTTAAATGCACCTTTGTTGTACAATGCCCACAGAGGCCAGGGTGTTGGATCCTCTGGAACAGGAGGTACAGATGGTTGTTAGCTGCCATGTGAGTGCTGGAAACAAAACCTAGATCCTTTCCAAGAGCAGCCAGAGTTTGTGTTCACTAAGCCATCTCTCCAGCCCGGATTTCACCTTTTTTTTTTGTAAAGAAAAGCTTACAAAGTAACAGGTTTTCTTATGACACTTTCTTTTTTAAAAAGTTTAAAACTACATTTATTGTTGGGATGTGGTAGTGCACACCTTTAGTCCCAGCACTCGGAAGGCAGAGGCAGGTGGAGTCTGTGAGTTTGAGGCCAGCCTGGTCTACATAGTGAGTTCTAGGCCAGCTGGGGCTACAGGGAGACCCTGTCTCAAAAAGACCAAAAAAGTTGGCAAATCCTTTGATTTCTTTGATTTCTTATTCCTATTTTTCCCCCCTTAAACTTTTGTATATATATTTTTATGTAACCTGCTTCAAGTTATTTCTGGAAAAGCGTGTTAAAAATTGCCTCTCTTTGGAATAAAAAATAAATAAGACAAAAAAATTACATTTATTGATTATTTTGTTGGGGGTGCACATGTGGAGGTCAGAGGACAACTTGTGGAGAGTAAGTTTTCTCCTTTCAACATGTGGGTCCCAGTGACTGAACTCAGGTTGTCAGGTTTGGCAGTAGGCGCCTTTTTGCATGGAGCCATCTCGCTGGTCCCTCCTTTCATACATAGTTTTGGTTTACTTTCTTGCTCTCTGTCCCCATCCCTGCTGTACCTTTCTGCTCTCCCCCAACCCCAGTATTCCTCCTTCTACTTATCTATCACATGTGTTTGATTATCTGCTCCTTACCTTAAGGCCTCCCCCCACCCTGGTCTTATGGGCCCCTTTCTAGTTTCACATTTACTCCCAAATAATAATATGCATGTTTAACAATTAGAAACTAGGATTCACTTATGAGAGAGAACATTTGCCTTTCTGAGCCATGGTTACCTTACTTAATGCAATATTTTCCAGTTCCATCTATTTTCCTACAAATGTCATAATTCCATTTTTCTTTATGGCTGAATAAAATTCCACTGTGTTTATGTACCACATTTCATTATCAATTCTTCTGTTTATAGACATATAAGTTGATTCCATTTTTTTTTTTTTTTTTTTTTTTTGAAGCAGGGTCTCCCTGTAGCCCCAGCTGTCCTGGAACTCACTATGTAGATCAGGCTGGCCTTGAACTCACAGAGATCTGCCTGCCTCTGCCTCCCAAGTGTTGGGAATACAGGTGTGCGCCACCATGCCCGCCTTGGTTGATTCCATTTCCTTGCTACTGTGAAAAGAGCAGAAGGAAACATGGAGTCCTCTGGGTATATGGTCAGGATTATACAGCCAGGTTGCACAGTAGTTCTATGATGGCTTGCCTCCCAAGTGTTGGGAATACAGGTGTGCGCCACCATGCCCGCCTTGGTTGATTCCATTTCCTTGCTACTGTGAAAAGAGCAGAAGGAAACATGGAGTCCTCTGGGTATATGGTCAGGAGTATACAGCCAGGTTGCACAGTAGTTCTATGATGGCTTGACAAGGACAAAATGCTAGCTGAATCTTCTCACTATCAAGCCAAATTCCTGGCACAAGTCAGAGTATCTTTTTTTGCTGAGAGCCCTGCAAGAGACAGGTGCCGCTTCCCTGAAGACTTGGCTGCATGTGTGCCCATTCTGTCCCTTGTCACATCATACCTTTTCATAAATTCCCTTGATGGGATTGACAATGGGATCTTCATAAGTCCAAGTGAGCACATATGGGACTGGTGTTGTCATTTCTAAGAGGACCACATTTTCTTTTCTCTGCCACCCTACTTGCTGTCTTTGCTGAAGTCCTGTCTGATGTGGGCTCCCAGGACCACACTGGGTCTGTGTCAGGGTTAGAGTCCAGGCCCTACACTGGCAGCAGATTCCCTCTAGTCCTCCTCAGTCTTAACCCTTACAGGCCTAGACCTGGCACTGCCCCCTCATCTGGACCTAGTGTTCTTCCTGTTCAGACATGGGGATTCTCAGTGGCCCACCTAAGCCTACTAGCCTTTGCCAGATCTTCAAATTTGACTTCACAGACTAATGTCCTTTCTGGGCATAACCAGTGTCTGATTGCCATGCATTGACACTTTCAGCTTTAAAACCCATAGCAGAGCTACCCTTTCATACAGTCTTTGTGCATGCTACCTTTTCTGTCTGTAAGGCTCTACCCCTGGATACTCATGTGCCTCAGTTCTTCATTTGATTCAGGCCACCATTCAAAGCACTTTCTTAGAGAAACTTTTCTCAAACATCTCTGAAGTGGAACTCCTTCCAGTAGTCCTCCTATTTCAACATGCTTTGGTTCTCTTTACAGCATGTGAATTCTGTGAGGCAGGAACTTACTTTGCTTACTGCTGAATTTCCAGTGCTCAAGTCGGCAGTTGTTTGTTGCAAATCTGCCAAAATGATACTCTCTATTCACCAGGACAGCCTGGATTATATGCCTCGGGGGCTGGTGGGTCTGGCTGCAGATATGAACTTACCACAACAGCAATATTAACACCTCCTTTATGCATGACAAACATGCTTCAGTCCTTATTAGGAATGAAGAAGTGCTGGCTATGTAATTTGGGACCTCATCATACTAGGCAAGTGTTCAACCTCTGAGCTAGCTCGCCATTTCTGCAGTCCCTATGTCAGGATTTATCTGCAACTATTCCAACTGTGTCCCTGTCTGTGCACTGACTTCTTACCCAGAAGACTCTAGCTTTACTTTTTCCTACTTCCTAACACAGCCTCTGCCCTTGGCTCCCCTCCTCTGAATCCTCTACTCTTGTGCTCCACTGTGGCTTAGCAATTACAATAACTATGCAATGTTCTTTAGTTCTGCTCTTCCCTCATACCTAAAAGCAAAATCCTGAATAATTTTAAAACATATACTCTGGATGCCAGGTGTGGTGACTGATATCTAACACTTAGGAGGCTAGGGAAGGAGGATCACAAGTTTGAGTCCAGCCTGGGGTACACAGTGAAGTTAAAAAAAAAAAAAAAAAAAGCAAAGAAAAAATGTCCCAAAACAAATCCCCAAACCTAAAAGCATATATCCTGGGAAT